TTCAGCATATCTCTTCTTGTAACACCGACATCTCTCCTAAGACATCTGTCCAGTTCAGCTTATCTCTTCTTGTCACACCGGCAACTCTCCTAAGACATCTGTCCAGTTCAGCATATCTCTTCTTGTCACACCGGCATCTCTCCTAAGACATCTGTCCAGTTCAGCATATCTCTTCTTGTCACACCGACATCTCTCCTAAGACATCTGTCCAGTTCAGCTTATCTCTTCTTGTCACATCGACATCTCTCCTAAGACATCGGTCTAGTTCAGCTTATCTCTTCTTGTCACACCGGCAACTCTCCTAAGACATCTGTCCAGTTCAGCTTATCTCTTCTTGTCACACCGACATCTCCTTAAGACATCGGTCCAGTTCAGCATATCTCTTCTTGTCACACCGGCAACTCTCCTAAGACATCTGTCCAGTTCAGCATATCTCTTCTTGTCACACCGGCAACTCTCCTAAGACATCTGTCCAGTTCAGCATATCTCTTCTTGTCACACCGGCAACTCTCCTAAGACATCTGTCCAGTTCAGCTTAACTCTTCTTGTCACACCTGCAACTCTCCTAAGACATCTGTCCAGTTCAGCATAGCTCTTCTTGTCACACCGGCAACTCTCCTAAGACATCTGTCCAGTTCATCATATCTCTTCTTGTAACACTGACATCTCTCCTAAGACATCTGTCCAGTTCAGCTTAACTCTTCTTGTCACACCGGCAACTCTCCTAAGACATCTGTCCAGTTCAGCATATCTCTTCTTGTCACACCGACATCTCTGCTAAGACATCTGTCCAGTTCATCATATCTCTTCTTGTCACACCGACATCTCTCCTAAGACATCTGTCCAGTTCAGCTTATCTCTTCTTGTCACACCGACATCTCTCCTAAGACATCTGTCCAGTTCAGCATATCTCTTCTTGTCACACCGACATCTCTGCTAAGACATCTGTCCAGTTCAGCTTATCTCTTCTTGTCACACCGACATCTCTCCTAAGACATTGGTCCAGTTCAGCATATCTCTTGTTGTCACACCGGCAACTCTCCTAAGACATCTGTCCAGTTGAGCTTATCTCTTCTTGTCACACCGACATCTCTCCTAAGACATCTGTCCAGTTTAGCACCCTCATCGAACATACTACCTATGTACTTAAACTCCTGAGGATTGTTTTAAAGTCTCTCTTTCAACTGTGATTATATGTTTAACTGGTGTTTTTTGTTTAACCTTCATCATTTCTTCTCCCCACACTGACAGTATTTATTTTCGTATTTTATTTCTTGCTGTTGACATCTGTGGCGAACGCGATTCGTAATAATGGGGTGCCGGATTCGATCCCCGCTGTAGGCGATTTGGCAACAGATCGCCTTGCATTAGTTTTAGCAGTGGTATCAAGAGCCGACCCTCCAGAAAGCAATGACAAATCTCTGAACGTTAATCTGCCTAGAAAAACAGCCCCAAAAATGCTCGGGTATGTTCTGCAACGTCCTGTAAAGGATAATAACAAACTAACATACAAGCTCATTAAACCGATGTTGGGGCAGCAGTGCTAGACACAAATAGTTGAATACATTCAAGCAAACCCAGAATCTGTACAGTAAAGTGGTCTACAAGTTACAAACACTCGCCTCTTGCCTGGACGTGTTTGTGTCTTCAGTAAAGTAAAAGTCAACGACTAGCCTAGGCATTGCAAACGTGCTTCGCAAATCCGAGATACCGAGTTCGATCCCTGCTGATATATTTGACCGCAGACCGCCTTACGGTGTTTTTTACCAGTAATATTGAGAGTCAGGTGCTAGTCACACTGTGGGCTGTGAGTCCCATGCCGCCTCATAGTGCAATAAAACACTATCGTCTGGAAAGACGGAAAGGTGCCAATCAATCACTAATTCAGCAATCATTGAAGGTGAGGCATTCAAGGACAATGGCAAACTAATGATCGCAAAATTGCTTAGTGAAATCACAAACACCCCCTCCCCCATCCTTCCCAAAAACAATTGCTGGGGTTGGTTCCGCAACATCACGTGAAGGATACGAAACTAATTGTGTTTAAGAAAAAGTAAAGTCCCCTTTTGGCGATAGTTGCGCATTCGACATATCAAGCTAGACTCATGTGTCTAGGAACTAAATGGTGCTCGGTGGGTTACATGGTTAGAATTAAACCGACCACCTGTACTTTCCTAGAATTGAGTGAAGAAGGTAAAGAAAAGAACCATTTTCCATGGCTTCAGGTGTATTACTCCTATAGGCTAGATGTATATGTAATAGACCAATTGGTACTTGGTGGGTGATGCGGTCAGCATCACACCAGCCGCCTTTACTTCCCATGACTTTACCTAGCACTTATTTAAAGTTGTAAAGAGGGAGAGCCAACATCATCTTTGAAAAAAAATTTCAGGTTGCCCCAGGACCTGAACCGACGACCTTCAGATGCGCAGGTGAGCGTCCAGCCGCTACACCACTTTCTATGAATTACTTTCTATCATTTTAGGACAATTTACCTGGAAGCCGATGTCAATTTTAAACGGGGGAAAAATCCGTCTCGATTGGGATTCGAACAGAAGACCGAAGACCTCCTGACCAGCAGGCAAGATTCTAACCACTTTGAAACTGTGTCCTTAGTCGTTAAGTAAGAAACTAGGAACTCTTGAGCTAAGATGCTATAGAAATATTCTTAAAATATCTTTGACAAAGAAAAATAAAATACTGACATCCCATAATATATGAACATCAAGGAAGATTCTTTAACGGAAACTGAAGTATGTTGGCATTATCAAGCGCCTAGATGGATTGAAAAACAATTAATAACTGCCGACTTTGTACCAGAAAAAGGAGCAGGGAAATACCAGCACGATGGTGGGCAAATGATATAATAGACACATTAGGTAGGAAAGTGTACGAGGCGGAAGAGCTGGGAGAGACTGAGTTTCCTTCAGGCAGACCGTGATGAGAGCGACGTACTGCACAGGACCTGCTAAATATTGATAAAACTAAGGCTAAGGAAAGAAAAGCAAAAGGTACTTTATGCGATATTCTCTACCGGCCTTGCGACCTTGTGCAACACTCTGAGATTGTAAAGCTCTGCACAGTTTGAATAAAAGCGTAATCTCCTACATTTCCCAAGCGTCAGAGTTCCTTCCCTCACTTTCAATTTTTCGGAACTACGACAACGATGGTATAAAGAAAGCTAGAAAAATCGTTTCCGTTCGGCTTTTCGTCCTTCTTAGGACGTTATTTTTTGTTATTTGAAGCCCCACTCTGGCTTTTGCCAGGGGCCGCAATATAGGCAGGTCATCATTATGGCCAAATGTCTGAACGCGGTTTCTGGGACCTCTCCACGGTGATCCTCATCCGCATGGTGGCACTTTGTGTCATCGGGTGTTTATCGCTTGTGTGATGTCCTGGTGGGGTAAAAAATCCAATCCAATCGTTTCCGTTTCTCTCCTCCCATCTTTCTCTGCTACACGTTTTTGTGTCGAGATTTGCAAGCAAGTTTTCCAATATGAGTGGGCGTGATGGTTAAAATTGGTCACGAAAGAAAGAAAAAACCGTTGAATGAACTTCAAAGAGACGCAGAGAATGTGTAGAAAAATGATATTGCGTTTTTCGTCTTTATTTTTTAAATGCATTGTCTTTCAACAATGGAGGCTTAATGGCTATGCTGTAGCGACATCCGGATTTTAAAGTGCTGACTTATTTTCGATTCTTGTAAACTTAGTGGCTTGAAAACGTGATTGAGCAAACTTTACAGGACGCTGTAACTCAATCCAAGCTGTTTTCCCCCCGCTGATTATAGCTTTGGAAGAGAATCTTACTTTATGTATCTTACCATTGGGAGCCGACGTGGTTTTGCGGCTAGACGCTGGCCTGTGAATCCGAAGGTCGGGGGTTCGATTCTGACTGTGCCAGATTTTTTCGAACATGATTTGTCTCCCAGTTCGACCTAGTTATAAATATTACCAGGAAAAGTCAGGGGAAGTAAAGGTTGCAGGTGAGATATTGACCACATCACCAACCAAGTGACGACTGGTCTATAGTAGCCCTATATGCCTAATACGTCCCAATGCGTGGAGAAGGGTTCATTACTTACTTTACTAGGCTGAATGATTTAGCGTTTAGAGGGGCATTTTTCGAACCAGTGAATTATATCAACGCACATTAATCCTAAAGTAGTTGGCTAAACGTCATTTAATAGGCTCCTAGCGGGTGCTGAGATGGTTCAAAACAACAACAGTGCAGTCTGCATTGTTTTAAATTAAATTAAATTCTGCACTATGAACGTAGAATGGTAGAGATTGTATGCCATTCACCTCCGACTGTGCAGACTTTGTTCGATTCTTGGCGTAAAGAAAGATTTGAACGATCAGTGTTAAAGTGTTTAACGTTTAGAGCATTTGTCTTATCTTGTTTCGATCGGCGACCCCATTTTTTTCCGGTTAAATTAGTAAGTAAGTAAGATTTTACTTCCTAGGACTGTACCCGGTACCCACTCAAGGCTGGGTTGACCTGAAAGCCTAGGTCATTTCTGACAAATGTCCGGCCAACGTCAGGAACCGAACCCACGACCATCCGATCCACAAAAGTGAGTCTAGCCGCTAGACCAGGCGGATGCCCCGTTAAATTAGTGAACTTTATAATTATATTAGTGCATTTTATGAAAAATAGTTAAATTATGTTATCAAGTGTTTAAAAAGGCAGCGGGTATATTTCTTTGACATTTTAATGTATGCAACAAATAACGCGCCACGGACAGAAAGAATAAACATCAACACATCTCACATGGAATCCACAGCTCACACTTTCACACCAAGCACCCAACTCAATATCTGGGCGATGGAATTTTGGACTCCCGGTCCAGAAATGAAGAATCTGCATAAGCAAAATCAAGCCGGAAACAAATGACTGTTTATGGCGCCTGCAGTCAATCGGCTATCGGCCATTTTAATGTGAGAATCAGACAGAAGACACGACGTGTTTAATTCCGAGGACAATTGTTTAAGACTTACCTTCTCTTTTGTCTTGTCACCACCACGATGATGATGAGGGCAATGGTCGCCAGCAGAATGGAGCATAACACCAGTGTGATTATTAGGATTAGGTATGGTAGCCCGCCTGAAACACATTTACAATTGTATATTGTAATACTAGTGTGATTATTATGATTAGGTATGGTAGTCCGTCTGAAACACATTTACAATTGTATATTGTAATACTGGTGTGATTATTAAATTGGGTATGGCAGTCCGTCTGAAACACATTTACAATTGTATATTGTAATACTGGTGTGATTATTAAATTGGGTATGGCAGTCCGTCTGAAACACATTTACAATTGTATATTGTAATACTGGTGTGATTATTAAATTGGGTATGGCAGTCCGTCTGAAACACATTTACAATTGTATATTGTAATACTGGTGTGATTATTAAATTGGGTATGGCAGTACGTCTGAAACACATTTACAGTTGTATGTTGTAAAAATAGTGTGATTAATTATGATTATGGATGGTAGACTGTCTTAGGCATACACAATTGTTTTTTTTGCATAAACATTGTAATTATTAGCATACGTATGGTAGACGGGCTAAAACAGGTTTACAACTATATATTGTAAAAAGTAAAGTAAAGTAAAGATACCTTTAGATCGACCTGCGATGCCCCATACCATTATAAAAATCCATGCAGCCAGCAGTGGGTTTCGATCGCAGTATGTTGCAATTACGAGTCAGACTCGCAACACCTAAGCCACGGACGCTGCATATTGTATAACCAGTGTGATTTTAGGAATAAATATGACAGACCGTCAATCTGCAATAATTCTAAAGTTGAGAATACATTGTACTCCCTAATCGATGATAGTGCTTAGATTCATCTGCCACCAATCTACTTGTCCAAGACAACAAGTTTTGGCAGACTTTTTATGCACATTTTTCTAAAGATCCACAAACCCAAGAACCCTGGTTACCCCATCGTCTCCACATGCTCATGCCTGACAGTATACATTATTGAATTCTTTGATCGTATTTTTTCAACCCATTGTCAGATATAAACTAACCCCTTCACATTTTCTAATCTGCCAAGTTACTCCATAGCGAGACATACACCTTTTCCTGTTAGATGGATGCTCTCTTTATACATCTATATCTTATGCTGATGGTTTGTAGCCAGTCCGGTTCTTTTTAAATAGGAGTACCAAACCCGACTACGTTTTTGTTTACTACCTGCTAAGTTAGTACTTACTCCTAATTCATTTGAGTTTAACAGCGAGTTTGTGTGTGTGTGTGTGTGTGTGGTGTGCGTGCGTGTATGTGTGTGAGTGTGTGTGTGTGGGACCAAATCAATGGTTAAGCGATGGGTACCAAAAATGGGTCCCAGTTATGCATGCAATTTTGGGGGATTTTCTTAATGCCAGGTTTGGTCAACATACACAGGAGAGTTACCTGAAATGTACACGACGTACATAGATGATGGCGTTGGTTGTCACCGAAATGTCCAGAAAGAAACAAAACCAATTCATAATTTTAGTCAGCAACTGTAATCCAGCTAGTCACTTCACCACCTTGATTTCCACCACTTCAGTGAATTTCTTAGACATCAATGTTAAGCATCGATTTTCATGTCTTATCCACCTGTGCCTGTTATAAAACTGCTGATTCTCATAATTATATTCACTCTACATCCTCTCGCATATTCTCTTGCTAAAAGACTATATCATTCTCCCAGGTGCTTAGACTATACAAACTGTGTTCTAATAACTTCGATATTTTGAGTAAGGCACGCGAGTTTCTAAATTTTTTTTTTCGTGCACGCCTTTAACCTGAACAAGTTCTTATAGAGGCTCTTATAAAATTATAAACCATCATTCAAAGAGAAGTTTTGCCTACTAAATATAAAACTGTTTCCGATAAACCTAAATTGATCTGTACATATTACCCTAATAATCTGGCTGTTTTTAGAATCTTTAACAGCATGTATCAGTTTGTGTTTTGACACTTCTTCATGCCACGACAAAGGCTGTCAAGAACTGTCTCATATTGTTTCCTCTGTCTCTTTCTCCATAGATCTTTCCAGTTGTAATAATATTCCAGTTTCCTTCTAATAATATGTCAACAAAAACAACAACACCAACAACGCCAGCCCCTCAAAGGATGACTGTCTCTTTCTGATGTTTGTGTTAAGTTATCGAGCAGTCACCTCTTTCAAAACATCTTGATCGCTTTTTTTTTTCGCTATCCAATGAATTCTGAGAATTCTCTTGTAAAGCCCCATTTCCAGGCCTCAAGAAATTGTTTAGCTGGGTTTTATCGTCCAGGATTCACAGCCATCTGATACAACTCGCTTAATATAGCATGCAATAACTTTTTTTTTCCCAACCTCCAGTGTCATGGATTTATTGCATACAATGTTCTTCATTTTATCAGTTGCAGTGTTGGCCTGTCCTATTATGTTCTTTAACATTGCGATATACTGAAGTTTATCTCAAACTTGTATGTCTTCGCTTCCTACTCCCTGAGCTGTCTACAAGTTCTGTCGGCGCGTCTGAACTGCATGTACCGTATATTTAGTTGCTGCTAGAATTACCGTGTTTTGGCCGCCCTATTGATTGGAGCATCGATTTTCTTATTATCTTCGACAAGAAATAACACGTCGAAATAATAGTCCCTGGCTTCTGTCTTGCAGATGCCTTCATGCATCTTTGTGTCACACAACATTTTCTCGTATGTTATATTATGTTATTTTCAAGTGTCGGATATTTGTATATGGTTTTATTTAAGAGAATATACGTTTTAAGAAGAGATCCTAGGTGCAAATCCCATTGCTCAATACAAACTTTTACCTGATAGTGAAGACTGGAGAGATGTGTTCAACAAAATACAAATAAAATATCAGTTACAGTTGCAGTGAAGAATGTAAAATGATTTTGTTGTGCATTTGTCATGTTTTAAGGCAGTGTACGACTAGAGAAAGAAAAACATCAACATCCTACGTGATCGGAACAGCGAGGAGAATTGGCTCATAAACAGCATCCTCTCCCGAAAGGCGAGGTATGTTGGTCTTGGTTAGCGTAATAGTGTCCTGTAGAAAACAGTAATCTGGTAATCTGGTAATCTGGTAATCCTAGTTTCAGCTTCATAGCAAACGGGTCACCCCATAGTTGCTCCGCTCCTGTGCCAACGAAAAACACACGTAGCTCACAGTGTCACGCCATTTTTGTAGAAAACAGTGATGGAGGGTGCCGTTTCCGGAAAACGAAGCAGAAGCCTAACTCCACGAAAGTGGCTACAAGACATTGAAGATGCATTAGCTATAAAAGTACACAGGGCTGGTGAACTGGCGACAGAAATACAGACTTCCAGGCGTGCCGTGACGATCTATTGACTGACGATGAGTTGCATAAAACTATAAGTTTTTTGTGTGGTAATATTTGACGGCCAGATCTTGTGCATGAGAATTTAGGAAACTCATTGCTAGTGCAGTTACCAAGGACCGTGACCGTTAGGGTTTAAGTTTCCTTCTGGATAAACCACACACGCGAGGGATTGAAATGCTGAGGCAGAAAACAAAAAGAAATAACACACCAGAAGACCAATACTGAAAGTGATATTAGTACAAAGTCAACAAAGAGCACGACTGGTAACCACCTGCCAAATACAGTGCTTGAGAAGGATAGTGGGAAATCTAGAAAACTTCACGCTGTAAACGAAACACATTACCTAACTTATTGAAAGTAAAGTAAAAAAAAGTGAAGATCCACTTTTACGCCTTAGGTGCATCGGGCATATGGGAAGAGCACCCATATTTTTACAGACCAATCGGCACTGGATGGGTAATGTGGTCAGCATTACACCGACTGTCTTTACGTACCCATTTTTAGGCTGGGTCGACCTGCGATGAAAAAAATCCACGCAGCCAGCAGTGTGTTTTAATCGCGGTACGTTGGAATTACTCCACACGCCTAAGCCACGGACGCCGCAAATTAATGAAAGAAAATCTAAAATTAAATTGATTGTAAAACAAAGACTGAAATGGTTTGGCAAACATAATGAGAATGAATTCTAAGATAATAGCAACATGAAAGCTGAAACACTAAGACTTAGGGGATGACCAAGAAAAATATGGATTGACGAAATCACTGATGCTTTGAGACTTTACAACATCACAGCATGTTGGGCAGCCAAGCGTGCCCAAGCTCGGATATCGATTATCTGTTAACCTTGCGACGCCTAGTGACACACAAAAACAAACTATGGGAAAAACAACGAAGAAAAGTGATTAGTGAAATCAAATTCTCTGGATTTCCACTCTTGTTTAAGACGTTTATGAATCTGATCCATTGCCACACTCAGACCCTCTTCCAGCAATCTATCCTGGCGCAAGGTCTCTCTCTTTCTCTCTCTCTATGTCTCTCTCTCTCTCTCTCTCTCTCTCTCTCTGAAACACACACACGCACACACGCATTCACACACCAACACACCCTCCTTTGAAAAAATAAAAAACATCCAAACCGATCCGAAGTTTTGCTTAAAAAAATCGTTGAGTTCAACCAGCAGCGCCAAAGGAGGAGGGGGAGCTTTAGGTTATAATTGTGACTAGGTTATATGCGCTATGTGCAATGGCTTAGCAGTGCATGCTACCAAAAGTCCTGAAAAGGACTCCTGCATGTTGATGCGATCAACGGAGACAGACCCAAATACTGTCCCTAGCGGCGACAAAGTCGTCTACCGACCAGTAAATTGGCGATCCGGGCGCTGATGTATGAAAAGTGTTTTATGTGTGAAGTGGCTTATATCGCATGAAAAGACTAAGACCAGAAGTATATCATACATTTTCTGCCCAAAACATCAAGGTGTGCGGGGTTGTTTGTTTTGTTTGTTTGTTTTAGTATCCAGAAACCATGAGTTGTTAACCCTTAGGCTCGGTATTATGGATATCGCAACCTTACGGCCTTGATTCCATTTTAAATACCGTAAATCTGGGAGAAATGTGGCTTTTCTGCCCACCCCCGGGAGTGAACCTGGACCACAAGGAGTTCGTCCCCCGCTCACCGCGCAATCCGGTTCAGCCAACTACGATAGAGAGACGGGCGTGTGCGGGGTTATAAATAGGTTGTTAGATTGGTTTTTGTCGCTCTTCTGGGCAACGG